TCTGCACGCCTCCCCGTCTGTGCCGTCTCCACCTTTTTTTCTCTGTCCTCACGCACCTTAAAATCTGTCTTTGTGATTCTTCCCCCATAACTGGCGCCACCTCCCGCTTCCCCAGCCCGTTCCCTTTCAGACCCGGTGCAGCACCTTCTCCAGCCCGTCTTTCCCCGCCTCAGCCCCAGGAGCTGCAATAACTGTGGACCTTGGTGGAACTTGGGCAGACGGCGCTGAGGAAGGTTGCCGCCTCCTCCCAAGCCCCGGGCCATCCCCTGACTTAAGTGGTGGGCCAGCAACCACAAGGGCAGTCATGCCCTGGGTCTCTTGGGCTTCAGTTCCCCATCTTTTCATTGAACTAAACTCCATTCACACTGAGCTCCTTGGCAGGCAGCAGGCAGAGTGCATCAGAGTCACATGGGATGCTGTTCAAAGTCAAGATTCCCGCATTCTGGTGACCCCTCCCAGTGTAGGGGAGACTCAGCGGGCTTGGAAACAGGACTGATAACGAGCACCCTTCACGCTCCCAACAATTTTGAAACAAAACTACATTTGGAAAAATGCCGGCCTGGGTTTTCACCGAAGTTTCCCTGGGTTCCAAGTACCCCACCCCTTCAACCAGAATGGTTCCACTTTCATCTGTATTTTATGTCAGGGTTCTTTCTGTGTTTTAGATTTCTGCTAAAGGAAGTGAGAAGTGTGCTGATGCGAATCCAAACACAGAGTTACAAGTGGACTGGTTTGGGGACATCCCCTATCTCCAATGGGCGGGCTCAAGAGCGCAGGAGGTCAGGTGACGGAGGGGACAGATCCTCCCTGGCTGCTCCGCCTCGTGGGGCCACAGAAAATCCCTCTGACACTGTAGATGCTCTTATGCTGGGGCTGCCCCAGGTGGGGGTGGGAGGCACAGAGGGGGCCTGGGGAATTGGCATCAGGCAGGTTATATTGCCTACAGGGTGAGTGCGTGTGCTAAGAAAGTGGCTAGAGCCCAGCCTGTGGGAAACCAAACTGTGTGGGTGAGAGAGAGAGAAGAGAAAGGCTAGGATTACTGTGTGGGTGGGTATGAAAGAAAAAGAGATGGGAAAAAGGAAGGAGGGCAGAAAGTGGTTCGTTTTGTCCGTAGGTGTGTGACAGTGGGCGTGCAAGAGTGGATGTGCCTGTAAAGGAGAATGTGTGCATATGTAAGAGAGATTGCAAAGTGTAGGTGTGTGAGCAAGAGAAAATGGAGAAAGGACCGTGATTCAACCTGTATCTAAGGGAGGGAATCTGTGTACTTGTATGTTTCAGGCGGGACCGTAGCTATGTATGCAAATCTGATACATGTGAAAGTTAGGCATGCATGGGTCAGGGGTGGGGGGCTGTGGGAGGGTGTGTGTGGATATATACCCCATGCATGGATGTGTGGGTGCCTGAGGGCATGCACATGTGTGCAGATGTGAGTACACACATGCGTTTGCATAAGAACATGGTGTATATACACCATGTGTGTTTGCATGCATGTTTATGGGGGGGTGAGCGTATATGTGTTAGTGCACATTCAAGGTATACATGAACCTGTGAGCCCTGCTCCTACACCATCACCCTCCTATTACGGTCACTACAGTGTGAGGAGTGGGAGGAGAAGTGGGTGGCCCCCTGCCTCTCTGACTGCCCTTTCTCCCACAGGACTGAGGAGCAGGGCCATGTCCTTGGCCCAGGGACCACTGTCAGCTCTTATCAGGGGCATAGATTCCTCCGCCTCCACCGGATGGACGTGGCCTAGGGCAGGGTTCATCTGACAGCCCAGGTCCAGGTCCTCATCTCCACCCCAGAGGCTCAGGCAGTATCCTCCAGATACCCCAAACCCCCAATAGCAAGTGGCCAGGAGAGGAGGGGAGGCAGCTTTCCCAAGGCCGTGAGTGAAGGAGGGGCTGGGTCAGCCTCGGAGCCTGGCTCTCCCGGAGTGTCTCCAAGGGGGAGGGAAGATGACCTAGCAGAGTCCCCCACCATCCCCCAGCCTGAACAACCTTTTCCTAGCCCCAGGTGGGTGGAAGAACACAGCCTGCTGCCTCATCTCCATGGAGACAAGTCAGCACAGAGGGTGGTGTAAAGCATGGGCCAGACCTCCCAGGGTTCAAATCTTAGATCTTCCACCCGCAGGCCTGAGATTTTGACAAGTCACTAAACTCAGTTTGCCTTAGTTTCCTCATCTGTGAAACAGAGATAAGAAAAGTATGAACTCCCTAGGGTTATTCAGAGGAGGAACTGAAGTAACCCACACAAAGCTCTTAGCACGGAGCCTGGCAGCTGAGCTGGGAGGCAGAAGCCCTGGGTTCTAGCTCTAGTTTTGCCACCAACTTACTGTGTGACCTTGGACAAATTGCTTGCCAGCTCTGGGCTTTAGAGTCTCCACCAGTTTATCTCCACAGTAATCTCAATGAGCCCTTCCAGTTATGACTAGCTGAGACTTTGCAGAGAGGACAGCTGTAGTGCGGGGATCTCTTGGTGAGCTGTGGACTAAGCAATGCAGGCTGGGGCCTGAGAATGAGCCATACACGACACTTTCCTTCCCACATATATTCTCCCAAGTTGGCAGCAGGTGATGGCAGGGAACTTAAGCTGCTGCCCACCTCATCTCTCCGCAGTCTCTGACCCTCCAGCCTGCCAAGGATCCCATTCTGCCATGCTCAGCTGGTACTCAGGCCTAAGAGAAATGGCACTGGTACCCACCCACCCCAAGTGGTGAGTACCCAAGGCAGAAGATGTCCTGACCCATACTTAAAGCTATCAAGAGGCAGTTATAATTGCGGAAGGACGGGTGTAATTGTCTGAAGATGCTTATAATCCTCTGGCGGTAATGGGAGGAAGCTTTAAAAGAAACCCTAATCCACTAATAACCTGGCAGTTCCACAGGCCTCTTCCCTCCGGATCTCCGGGCAGAGAGAAGGGACTCTGGCTACTCCCTTTCCCAAAGGAACAGAAAGGCCAGTGAGGGCTCTGACCCCAGAGCACCCGATTTCTACTCTCCTGCGAGAGCCAGCTTCTTTCCTGCCTCCGCCTCTGAGAAGTCTCCCCTGCCCATTCCATCCTTCTGAGGCCACTTCTGTCTCCTCTGTCCCTAGAACTGTTCAGGACAGAACTGGAGAACCGCCTGGCTGGATGTTTAAGAGAGGAATGAACCAGAGGAACATGACCACAGTCTCAGTCAGTGAGAATGAGATACTATGAAATGATCTATCTCCATATGAGAAGCCAACAGGGCTCATTAAATGTAGTCCCTTCTCCCCTCTCCATCTATGGTCTCTTTACTCCAGGTGTCAGCAGGCCACACCTTTCCCTTATAAATCCACAATACAGTGGCGGCCAAGGCCAAAGTCCCTTATTCAAGATAAGCTGTGATTGAATCATGGCTTAGCAGCTTGCTACCCATGAGTCTTGGCCAAATCGCTTATATTCTCTGATCCTCAGTCTTCTCATCTGTATATAGGAGATAATAACAGTATGTCCCTCATAGGGATCATTAAATGAAATGACTTGTGCAAAAGCTCTCAGCACAGTGGGCTTGGCACATACGGGCTTAACAAGTAATAGCTATTGTATTGTTGAACTGATTGTGAGCATTTTAATTATTATGAACATCTTCACATGCTTTTCTAGATTACACTAAAATTTCCAAAACGCTGCCCCAAGATCACTACAACCTCACAATAGCTCTATGAAGTAGATAGGGCTCATATTTTAATTTTATTTGTACAGATGAAACTGGAGCTTACCAAGGGGAAGGGGTTTGCTGGGGTTTCTCTAGTCGGCTTTGGTTCCAGAAGCAGCACCCATGTCTCGCGGCCCCCACACATGGTCTGTGAGAGGGATGGAAGCAAGTCCTGGGCTTTCAGGCTCTAGGGGAACTGAATTTGGGCTGATTATGGTGTGAGGGCCCACCTGCAAGTTCAAGGCTGCTGGGCCCTCCTGGGGCCCTCCTCCTCCTGCCCCAGATGCATTGAAGTTTGCCCAGCTCTACGTGTGACCCAAGTGTGGGAGGTGGTGGGGGTTGGCTATGGGGGGAGATCAGAGCCTGGAAAGAATTATTTCAGAAAAAAGAGTGGGCAGGATGGCTGGTGAGATGCCAGCCGGGGCGTCAGCAACGCCTGCAGAGAAATGAAGTGTTCCTGCGTGACGCACAAGCCCTCCCGGGCCTGAGCGAGCATGGCCCAGTTCACGTCCTCCCCATCTGGACCCACTTCAGCGTTTCCATGGGCCGGGTGGTAGAGGTGATTCAGTGTCGATTTCCCTGCCCCGCCCTGCTGCTGACTCCGGCTGCCTATTATCACCCTTCCTTCCTTCCTTCCTTTGGGCTGCTCACACGGAGCTCTCCTCTACCCGCCTTGGTTGGGTCCTCACTGCAGCCCAGGTGATGTGGGTCCTGCCTCTGTCATCTCTACCAGATGGGAAACCGAGGCCTGGGTGAGGAATGTGCGTTCCTCTCAGTCACCAACTGGTCCTTAACGTCCTCACTCTGGGCCTCGGTTTCCCACCTGTAATATTAGGAGGTCAGATTAGATCATCTTCAGTCTCTACCTCAGAAGCTCCATGAGGGCAGCAACCACATCTGCTTTGCCCAGCGCTGCGTCCCCGGCACCCTCGAGCAGCTGGCACTCAATACATTCAAGCAGGCAGTCCCGCCCCATCAGCTGTTCACGCTCCCCAGTCATTTGTTAGCACCAGTGATGAAAGGGCGGACAAAAGTGAGAGATGGGCTTGTTTTCAACCAAGCGTGATAACACAGCTTTCTCTAGCTGCCATTTCATGTGCCCTCTTTGGCAGAGAGAAGATGGTCTTAGATGTGGGACAGCTGGACTTGCACGTAGCTCACAGCCTCCCTGTAGCTCCACAGCTGTCAATCTGGGCATGCCCATGAGACTGTGATGGGCTGTTACGCATCATGGGAAAATATGGTCAAAAGCCCCTATGTTAAGGACCTGTGGGGTCCCCTGTGACTCTGGCAGTCCAGGGGAAAAGGGATGTGAGCTTACCTGGTTTCTGGGGAAGCCTGGGTCCAGGGCTGGGGCTGGGGCTGAGGCTGGGGCTGGCTGTCATCACTTGCTGGGCCTTTACCATGTCCCAGTCCTGGCTGGTCCTGTTGTCATGCTGGGGCTCCCTTCGTGCCCCCCTGGAGCAGCTGGGTGGCTGGATGCCCAGGGCTTTGGGCGACTCTGGTGCCTCTTGGGTGGCCCTGCAGTTGGAGTTGTCCCCATTCCTGGTGATCATCCTGTCCTCCTCCAAGTCGGTGAGCCCTGCCTCTCCCTGCAGGCTCTCCTCACCGCCGCTTTCCTCCGCCTCCAAGGCCAGGCACCTGTAGCTCCCATCCGGGATCCGGAAGGCACAGGGGTTGGGCCTCCCTTCACTGGGTCCGAGGGGTGGGGGTGGGAGGTGAGGGCCCAGCATGGCGCTGCCCCTCCTCGGTGATGCAGAAAGCTGGCTCCGGGGCTGGGGCCCGGGCCACCTGTGTGAGCCCTGGTCTCTGCTCCTCTCCAGGCCTCCTCTGGCTCTCTACAGCTTTGACTTCCTCAGGCGACACAGAGCTGGGGCGAGGTCCAACTGCCGGCCTTCCTGGGCTGGGTGGGGTGGTGGGCCCCCGAGCCCTCCTCCTTAACCCGTCTCTAGTCAGTGAGGCCCCCCCTTCAAGACGATCTATCTGCACAGGGAGAAAAGAAACAGCACATGAGACAGTCGGCTGACTGTTCCAGCTGAATTTCTGAGACCTGTCCACCTAGGGTCTCCCTGAGAACTGGCTGGTCCCACACACATCCACAGGAAAGTCCCAAGCTTCAGGCACTCGACATCCCATGGTTTTGCCATATCCTTATGCCATTTGACACTTTATTTGCTTAATGTTTTTCTGTAAATCAACTTTAAATAACTTCTATTACTTTGGACTTAAGCAATAATTGCAAAGAAACCACAAGTATGTTGGGCTAAGTCAATTCTCCCAATATGTACACATTAAATAAATATCTAGTTATTTAAAAATACTTATCTGGGCGCCCTCTGGAAAGAATTCTCCCACATGCTACCAAAGGTACATACAACACAGGAATCACAGGAATGGTGGGGCAGAGGGCAAAAGACTGGGACAGGGACCCCTGATAAGGCTGTGCACCAAGGTAGATGGTACAGCAATGTGCTTATGTGACAGGCTTCCAGCTCTGCCACCTGTGTGATGGGTAGCAAATCATGTGACCTCTCTGAGCCTCAGCTTCCCCATCTGTAAAATGGGAACTGAAATATCTCCAACGTAGTGTTGCATTGATGATTAAGGGAGAAAATGCGTGCAGAAGACTTAGCACAGTTTCTGAGATGCAGCTTAATACATGTTGGCTATTCTTTCATTCCACAAACATTTCTTGAGTTCCTATCACATTTTAGACACTATAAAAGGTACGGGGGATACAGTGGAGATAAAGAAGATATACTCTGGCTCATGAAGCCTTAAAATCTGGTGGTGGTGGGAGCTGTGGATGATACCGGGATAATAATAATAACAGTATGATTATTTAGAAATGTTAACTGATAATAACCCAGGAGAGAGGGGATGCGAGGAGGAAATGGATGGGAGAGAAACTTGGGTGGAAGAATTGGCTGGGCTGGGAGGCAGATGGAGAGTGGGTGTGGAGGAAGGGGGTGGAGTCTAAGATGCAACTCTGGTGACAGTGTGGTTTCTTGATTTTCAATAATAGAGATCAGGAATAAATGGGAAGGAGCAAAGGAGCAGGTGTTCAGGGGAGCAGGGAGATGAATTCAATTTGGGATTTCCGGGGGAGATAGCACAGTCACCTCCACACGGGGGCCTGGAAAGCAGGGAAGAGTTCCAGGCTGGAGACAAAGGTTTGGAAATCATTTGTGGAGGCACAGGGCAGAGGTGGACAAGATGACCCAAGATGGGGAGGTAGAGGACACCTTGGAATGTGCAGGTCTTGGTTAACAGAGCTTGATTCCATCATTTCTTAGCTGTGTGAACTCCAGTGAGGGTGAACATTCCGAATCTCACTTACCCTCTGCAAATAGGGAGAGAAGACCCTCACACACGCCCTGGCTACCCCTTGGGCAGTGAGAGCCCAGAGAATTATGAAAGTCTGTGGACACTGCTGACCTCAGGGCCTGGACTGACCTCAGCTCTGACGCCTCCATCCCCAGGCACCGCCACCCCGCCCCAGCAGGCTGGGTCAGGGCCTCAGCTTCTGGTTGGAGCTGTGCCGGGGAGAGTCTGGTAGGCAAGAGGAAAGATAAGCGCATTACCAGGCCCTGGGGAAAATCAATGCCAACCAGGGGAAGGCAAACAAGTATCGGGATCAGAAAGATAAGAGGCACCTGTTACAACAGCCTCGCAGACGGAGACATCAGCACAGAGAAGCCAACCTTCTGCCTAGAGAACAGGTGCTCACAAGATTGGACACCTATTGGGTGCTGGGTTCTTTACTTAGGTTATCGAAGTAAACCCTCACAACAACCCTGAGGGAGGTACTGTTATTATTAGCCCATTTCAGAGGTGAGGAAATTGAGGCTCAGGTAGGCAGGGTGACTTCTGGCCTAAGTCAAAGAGCGAAAGGGCCAGGATCAGACCCCAGCTCCGACACCTTGACCGTGACTGTGGGCACGGAGACATAGAAGAGAGAGCTCCAGGGCCTCATTCCTCTCCAAATCCTTTCTCACTCACCAAATCTAGCTGCTGCCAGGTTTCTGCCGTTAGAGTTTCAAAGATTCTTAAAATCTAATGAAAGGCCAGTAGGATTCTGAGCCCAGCAGGATTCAGAGCCCTAACTGGCTGTGTGGCCTTGGGCAGGCGCCTTCTTCATTTTGGAGTCATTTTGCCCAAAGACACGATGTCGGGGTTGAGGCGAAGGATGCTGAGGAGGGGGTCTGTCTAGCCCTGGCATTGCAGGATGCCATGTTTCTAAGCACTTGGAGCCCCCCAACCTGCCGCCCACACCACCAGAAGGCCAGATGGCAGGAGGAAGGAGGAGTGCGCATGGGGGGGCAGGGCTCCCTCTGACACCCCGCAGGGGCCTTGTCTCGCTCTCTCCCTGCTTCTGTTTTGCTGTATTTGACAGTGGCCACGGTTTCCAGGAAAGAAGAGAGAGGCGGAAAAGTTAACTTTCCGCCACCCACACAAATATTTTTGGCCAGCGTTGTCTTCACATTGCCAAGCCTGGAGGGAGGGGTTGGCAGGAGCACTCCAATTCAAATTTCCCTTCCAAGGAGAACTCCCGACCCAGCCTGGGGGCCTGGGCAGGCCCCATGTGGGCCCGAGACCTGGGACACCCACCCTGCTCAGGAGCCCGGGGTAAAGTGGAGGTAGTGAGGGCTGGGATCCATAACTATAATGGCAGCTGCCACCTTCTGAGCATCTGCTAGTACTGGGCCAAGCCTTTTACCTAACACTGTCTGTGTGGCAGGCGTGTGAGTGCTGTCTACAGATGGGGAAACTGAGGCATGGAAAAGTAATTCCATATCCAGAGTCACACAGATGGTGAGTGTAGAGCAGGACTCATGGCTCTTAGTGGCTGCACACTGACTCTGGGGATCCCCACAGCCTCTGAGGTTGCAAACTCAGACACAGCACACCTGTCCGTGTGGGCACATCTTCACAGTGGGTCACCGAGGGTCTGCTCCAGCCTCAGCAGAAATGAAAGGGGGTCCTCTAATGCCAGCTCCCCCAGATCCACATCCCTCATCTAGCCACAGACTCTAGACTCTGAGCCTCAGCAGGCAGGTTTGATAGAGTCCAGCCAACCCACTGTCCTTGTCTCAAAGAGAAGGGATCACCCAGGTTGCACAATGAGTCAGATGCACGCCTGGTGCTGGAACCCAGGAGCCCAGACATGCTCCAGCTCCTCACATAGCCCTGCTCCCCCTGAGGCGTCAGCTTCCCCGTCTCGCTCCCCATGAGTCCAAGCAGGGTCCCCAGCACCGGAGGCCTAGCTGAGTGGCTGGAGGCAGGACGACCAGGGCAGAGGGTGGCAGACGGAAACATGCAGGGGTCCCTGTGAGAGGAGAGCTTTAGAGCAATTTCCTCCGCACCTGGTGCAGTGCCAGGCACATAATAACAATAACAATGATAATAGCTAATGTTTATGAAATGTTTACTATGTCAGGTGCTATTCCAGACACTTAGCGTGCATCATCTGATTCTCATCACATCCCTGTAAGGAAGGTGCTATTATTATCACCATTTTACAGATAGGAAATCAAGCTTATGTGGCTTGCCAAGTTCACACAGCCAGTAAGTGACTGAGTCAGGGTTCATATCCTGACAGTCTAGTTCCAGATATTACTGTCACCCATGAAGCTGTGCTGCCTCAATAGTTGAAGTAGTTCCTAAATGAATGAGTGAACGAGTGAGTGAATGAATGAGAAGGAAGGATGCGAGGATGGGAGGGAGAGAGGGAAGAGATTATCTCCAGTGCCTGGTACATTGCCTGGCACATAGTAGTCAATAAATACTTATCGAGTAGAATAATGAATGTGGATGGCTGAGGCATTAACTGTACATGTAGCCTAAGGACAAAAGTGGGGTTATCCTGGGGAAAGGGGTAACTCAGAAATGGTCCAGGTGGCTCAAGGTGCACGTACCAACACCACTTGTCTGGCAGCACCTTGGCATCAGGAGTGGGGTGGGGAATGGTGTCTGGCCTGTCCAGAGTTGAGTTTTCCCTGCCATTAGGAAGAGAACTTCCATTGCTCCCAAGAATCTGAGCTAAGAGTATGTTCCTACCTTAGTGTTTCCCTTCCAAGGAGGGGATGGGCGCCAACGTGGAGTCTCTTCCCCCTGACTCCAAAGGAGGCATCCCAAGCTGCTCCAACCTCCAAAACTGGTGAGCAGGAGGAAGCCTGGCATTTGTGATTACCTTGCTACATGTTCTTGGAAGAATCACTTCCTTTCAATGGGCCTTGGTTTCCCCAGCTGAAAAAAGCCTTGGGCAGAGTGGTTGGTGGGACTGACAGTAACCAAGGTTGAAGCTATTCCTGAATCCTCTTGGAACTGTCCTCTCTCAGCATTTCCCAGTGTCAGTCTCACAGGGATATACAAGTGTGACCCCACACGACCATAACCAACCCCTCCTTCCAGTCCTGCAGGGCAAACTGACCAATCCTGGCCTCCTTCCTTCCTGCCTCCGCCTCCAGCCATCACTGCCCGGGCTGCCCAGCCTGCCCTGCCCTCTCCCCCTTCCTCCCTACTTCACTCCTCCCTCTGTTCCTGTCCACCTCCTGGGGCAGAAGGGGCCAGGGCTGGACCAGCATCAAGGGAAGCTGGGGGGAGCTCTGGAAGCATCAGGAAAGCAGTCCTTTGCAAGAGGTAGCTATGAGGAGCTGGGAAGAACTCTCCAACCTGGGACACTGGGTGGCCTCAGGAGAGATGAGCATAGGCCAGGCCTCAGTTTAGCCTCAAGATAACTGGGTGACTTTGAACCAGTCACTCATCTCATTGAATTTTAGTTGCCTTCTTAGGAGCATGGAGATCCAGACTCAGTCAGTCACTTTCATGCATTCATTCATTCAGCATGTATTCACTGAATGCCCATGAGCCATCTGCTATTTTAAGTGCTGGCGGTACACAGTGAAAGAAGGGAAAGAAACCCTGCCCACGTGAAGCTCACATGTTAGTTGGGGTAGACGGATAATAAATAAATAAGAAAG